TTGGCAAATCCTGAATCCTCTCAACACTTTCCTGACAGGGAAAAATTACTGGGCACCCTCCTCACCCCTGTAACTGCACCTCCCCCTGCTAAACTCAGACCCATTTTCCAAGGCCTCCCTTGAATCTCCAGCCAAGATTCTTCCCCCCAACTCCCATAGAATTTTCTTTTGATGTTTTCCTTTACCACAGCATTCATTACATGCAGACTTGCTTTGCAAATATTTTTATCTTTCTTCCTTTTCACTTTAGCATTGCATTTTCATTAGGGCAGAAACCGTGTTTAATTCAATAATTGCTCTTATTTATTGGGCATGTACCACTGTGCTTACCTCACCATTTGAATTTTCTCTAAACTTATAATAAGCCTATGAATAGGTATTACAGTTCTCATTTTACAGATGAAGAAATTTCAACCAAGAGAGACTCGATGATTTGTCTTCAGTCACAAATCTTGAGTGGCTGAGTCAAGATGGAAAGACTTTGCTGTTCCTAGCATAGTTTTTTTCCTACTGAATAGTTTTTTTCTGAATCTCTACTAGCACATAGTAAACCACAGATGGATGGATGGGTGGGTAGGTGGAATGAGTGGATGGAAAGAATGGACAAGTGGGTTGGTAGATGGATGGATGGAATGGGTGGGTGGGTATATGGGTGGGTGGAATGAGTAGATAGGTAGATGGGTAGGTGAATGTTGAAAATATCACATTGACCCCAATCCCAAGTGTTACCTTCCTTTATCAGTATTCCTTACCCCCACACTAAATTAGGTTAAGCAAGATAATTTTGGTTCTAAATAATTCTTCCTCTTTTGCAGAGAATTCATATTCCCCAACCTTAAGGTTTAGCAAGATTATGTAATGCCCTCAAAACAAAGTATAGACTGATGTTTCCCAGGTTACTTGAGTAATATAGACCAGTGAAAAGGTTTTAGAGTAGCAAGACCTGCTCTCAGGATTTACTAAGTTACTGTCCTTGAGTCTGGAGCTGCTTAATCTTTCCTTGACCATCAATGTCCTCATCTATAAGACAGTACAGCCTCATCTCCCACATAAGTAGTAGAGAGAGGTAAGTTAGGTCATGGAAGTGGAAGCTTGACATAAGGTAGACTCCTTAATTGTTCATTTTCTTCATTCTTTAATTCCAGGAAATTTGTGAAACTGTGAAAGTAACAAGATCTTGAAAAACAAAGAACAAAATAAAGGCTTCCCCCCACTTGCAGCCCAGCATACATCTATACACCGCCATCATCCCTTTCCTACCCAGGTTGATTGGCACAAACCTTTCCTTAGGCAATGAGAGATGCCATTTCTTGCCAATTTTTTCCCTTCTCCACTTGGCATATTTTCTTATGGGGTTTCTTTTTCTTTGCTTCTACTAACGCTTAAAATTAAGACAGATTTCAGTTTATTTCCATATTTGTGCTGTGGTTGAGGTATGAATCTCCAACAAACCCAGAAGGATTCAAACGTCACCAAAAAGAAAAATTCTAGAGAGCTCTGGAAAGTCTGTGTTTGATATCAAAAAAGGAAAAATCCTCTCTTAATTTGTTCAAACCCTTTTGTTTAAATCCAAGGAGAAAGCTCAGATTCTGTTCCACCTGGCCCTATGGATACAATGGATGGATATACTTATATCCTCCATGGAGAATTCTACAAGAGAAACTTTTGAACACATGTTTTGGAAGCAAAAGTCCCAAATGTTATGAATGAAACATATCCAGTTATCATTTTTCCACTCTTCCCTTCTTTGCAGCCCAGGGGCTAAAATCACCTGTTGCCTTGGAAAGACTCCTTGGAGGATCAAGTCCAAGGGGAGAAGTACTCTAGTTAGCCCAGTCCAGGTTATCTAAGCTTTATGCTAACTTGAGACAGGAAATCCCCACGCCCCACAACCTCATTCACAATCCATAATAGATGATGTTCTTGGAGCTCAAGTTGAGAAGAGAAGTTAACTATGCACATTTTTATAATGATGCAGACCTGGGATTCGGTCTGAGCAGCTATATCATAAAATAATAAAGTACAAGTGCAAACAGCAAATATGTGCCCATATCACAGCTCAGAATGTGCCAGAACTGACCAAATAATTATACATTTTTCATGTTTCAATAAGGTGCTTAACTGGCATTTTGTGGGACGCTGCTGGGTGAGGGCTTGCAGTGACAGAGTTGGCGAGAAGCCCACATCCTGCAACCCTGGCAGTTCCCCATCTTCTCCATTAGCTCAGTCCACATGGAGAGATGAGAGCGGAACAAATGAGACACCTTTCTTTTTTTTCCAAGTATATTGGAGTCTGCCCAGGAAAAAAGCAGGGCAGGTTGATGAAAAGTGTAGCCAAGTGTTCCCAGCCTCTCCACTGTGTACTCAACTAGGGAAATCATAAAACCACAGTCATTTGAACAGCCGTTTATAGTTTACAAGTGCTTTTCAAATGTATTCTCTTAATCCTCACACAAAGAACTGAGGATATAAACGGAGGCTCAGAGAGGTTGAGGAACTTGCCTAAGGATAAACAGCCAGTAAATGCCAGAAAGGGGTCTGGATCCAGTTCTGTCTCTTGCACCTATTCTGTGGGCTGCCTCCTCCTTCACCCAGACCCACATGAGTCAGTCTGATTTTCTGCCTCAAACCCAAGCTGTAAAGACCAGGAAGCTGGAAAATGTCTGGGTAGGAATCTGATCCTCATACTTTCAGGACAGAGATAAAGCTGTGTTTAAATTGAGGTAAGAAAAACCACTTACCCCTTCTCCATTTGTGCAGGAAAAGGTAACAGGCAGAAAACTGATATTTCATAGTGGTCTGGTTTAGTTTATGACCCCAAAAAGTCAGAGGTGGAGATATTCTCAATTAGAGGGACTTCTACAGACACATCACAGGGATGATTTGTTATGCTTGTGTTTGCTCTTTCTGGCTCTCTGATTTCTTTCTTCCTTCCCATGACAGTTTTCTGGGGTACTACTAAAGGACATGGGAACTTAGACTTAAGCTCACATCTGGTTCTAAACTATCCACTGTCTTCCCCAAAGATTTCAGGAGCGATACAAAGCCTTTTATACCTTTGTGCACAAGGAGAAAGGGACTGATTTAAATTGGTGAGAAGACCTTTGGGATTGAGAGCGTTTCGGCTAACTCCTCAGAAACAACGTGGGCTCTCACCTGGTTTAAGTCTATGAGGAGTAGGGGTGGGGACAGGGCATCAAATCCATCATGAAAAATTATCATACAGGATACATGCTCTGGGTTCTCTGTTTAAAAACCAGTTCGGAGTTCTGACTACACTATGGAGAAACAGGGCTCATGGAGGCACTCTGTGAGGGTTGGGCCAAGAACCCAGGTCAATTCCACAACCAAACTCTTAACTGGAGTATATACAGGAAGTATGCTTAGGTGATTTTAATGTTCTGGTTAATTGGTATCTAAGTAGGGTCTAGTGAGCATAATTAAATCTTTCTTCGATAATTGAGAATCTTGTAGTGCCCTGGGGTGATCTTTCTAAAATACCCATTATAAATCCTCACTGGTAAAAAGACAGAAGATTGAGTTCAACCTGCAGTGACTTCCAGGTTAACTACAGGACATTTGTTTTTACAGAACCCCTAATTTAACTTATTATTTTCCCCTTTTCCTAAACAGCTAGTGCAAGGAAAATTGTGTTTGAGAGGCCTTCAATTTGAATCACAGTAAATCAAGATTTCCATATACTGTCCAAAAATTAGAAGGACTTTCAGGATGTCGACTTGTTACACCTGATTATTAAATCAAATAAGTGTAGCCAGATACAAGTTTTTAGATTTATTTTACAAATGTCTTTTGAGGTCCACCCCCACCATCCCTGGCCAGATACATTCTTGTCTTGTGTACCTCAAGAAGAACTGAGCCAAAGGACACTAAGGTAACTGGATATTGAAGCTCCTTTTTGCTAGTCCTGGTTCCCTTATTAAGTAGTCATATGACATCAAAGAACCTATTTCACTTCTAAGACTCAGTTTCTTTATCTTTATACCTGAAGGCTGGATTTATTGGTTCTTAAACTTTTTAGCACAGACCTCTTTAAGAATCAGAGGAACACTAAGAAAGCTTTTTCACAGCACAGAAAAGGGAACATTAAGTATAAAACACTTACACTCTAAATGGCAGAATGGAATCATTCCGGACCCCCATCCATGTTTAAAATCCTGGGGTAGAAGAACCCTTGAGCCTCTTTGAACACTGGCAACCTCTGAAGCCAGCTAAACACAAGCATATAGAGCAGTGGTTCTCAACATTAGCACCACCTTGAGACCACCCATGAAGAGTTTTACACTCCAATAACCAGGTTGCTCCCCAGACCAATTAAACCCAAAACTTTAGGGGTGGGTCCCAGGCATCAGTATTTTTTCCACACTCTCCAGGTGATCCAATGAGCAGACAAGTTTGCAAACCACTGCTCTAGAACAAGGAGTCTCAAAATTTAGGAGTGAATAGAATCACCTGGGGAAAGGCAGAGGCCCAGGATCCTACCTGGGAATAAGTATGGGTAGCCAGTTTCTCAGGTCATTTGATATAAACCACAATTTGAGGGTTCAGTAATATAGCCATTTAGCTGGAGGTACCCAGAGAAGTCCTGTCCCTAGCTATCCTGTCCTCTGACAGTTCTACATGTTCCCAGAAGGTCCCTGGCTTTGTCCAGGGATCACTTTAACAGGTCTCTTTCATTGCTAGATAGGCTTTTTCTCCATCTTTCCCATCCCCAGCAAAACTAGGTCTTTTAGCCAGAGCCTCTGATGCCACCAGGCTCAATAATTTATGCAGAGCAATCATCAACTTCATCGTGTTTAATATTTAAACACCATAGCATCACTTAGGTCAACTTCAAGGTGAGAGCTGATCCTGTTCTATTGCTGGTCAGCAAACCGGGCCACTAGCAGCCAGAGGGGACCACGAGCGCATGACTCCAAGGCAAGTCGGCTCAGACAAAGACCCAACCCGCCAGGTTCTGCACCCACTCTACCCTTTCCTACCTGAAGTGTGTGCAGCAGGAGCTGCAGCCCACTGGCTTCTTGTTCGGCCATCCCCTCCTCGGCTCCTAGGGAACTGCTGCTGCCTGTGGCCAGATCCGGACTAGAGAGGCAATGGCTGCCAAGCTGACCTCGCTGCCCACCTCGCAGGAGACGGCTGCGCAGAGGCCTCAGCTGCACATGCTGTTGAGTGTGAAGTCACTGCGGTGCAACCCTAGACCTCAGCACAGGCGTGAATGCCCCCCGACTCCCACTGCGGGGATTAGGAGAGCCCTGGCTATAGGGAGGGCTGAGTATTTGGGCACAGCGGTGGGGAGGGCACCGGCGTGAGTCACTCACCCACCTCCAGGCCCACACAGGAGACAGGCGAAGGAGAAACCACCCTGGATGGCTGACAGGCATTCCCAGCTGACCTGGTCAGACTCCCTCCAGAGGCTCACTCAGCCCTCCCCACTGCCCCCCCACCCCTTTATTTTGGTCTGTTGCCGGCTCCCGGGTAACAGGAGACCCGAGAGTGCTTGCACAACTGTGGCAGTTCAGGGCACAGGAGCCCAGGGCCCCCTGAGGTCCCAGGCTTAGGGACAGGAGCTCTGGCTGAGAAGGAAAATAACTACTCTAGACATTTTCCATGAAGCAGCTCCCTCACATAATTTTATTTTCACAGTACACCTATAGAGGTATTATTACCACCCCATTCCTATTTCACAAATGAGAAAACTGAGGCACCAAAATGTTAAGCTACAAGAACACAGAGCTTAGCAATGCATGCCAGGCCTCAAACAGGCAAGCTGGCACCAAAGCACAAGCACTAACCTTTGTGCCATCCTGCCTCTTGCTCCTGCAAACACTTCAGTCAAAGTGATGAAGAGCCAAGATCCCTGTCCTCCACTTCAGGGAGAGCAGATGCCCTCAGTGTTTCCTCCAGACCAATCCATTATCCGCTCTCTGTGTTTTCTGCTGGAGATGTGTGTTTTAGCGGCTGGCTTCTCCTTCCCCTCACATCAACACCTTTAGTTACTGGCTTCCCAGAGTGTGGTGAGGGTGCTCACCTGGAAACTTGTTAGGCTTCATCCAGAACTCCTGAATCTGCAGCTATACTATAACAAGGTCCCTGGGGAATTCATAGTTAATTAACAAAATAATAGAGGATTAAAGTTGAGGGAGCCCCAATTTCAACTAGATTGATTACATTACCAGGAACAGCCCTGTGTTTGGCAAGTCTGACCTTTTTCGACCTGATAACTAGTACTCAAAGTCAAACACAGCTTTAATGTGTGAAATTGGAGAACCAAACTCAGTGGAGTTCCTGACTAACAGTGCAGCTAGGTAGAAGAGCCTTGGCCACCATGAGAGGGAGCTCCCAGCCAACACCCCCATGCAGAATTTGGGGAGCTCTCAAGAGCATCAAAAGCGTTGATCCAGCAGCTGCCCACATATATTGTGGAGACAGAGGAAAGAACTTGCATTTCAAGATCCTGCTTGGACTAAATGTACTGAAGTCCTGAGGTAGGGTGTCAGGCCTGGCCAAACCCTCAATTCAAGGGCAAATTCATGTGGTCCCTGTCCTCAAGAAACTTCCACTCAATGGCTTTAAAGGTAAAGACCTTCCACACTGGTCTTGAGAAGCGACTGTAAGAGCTCACATTTATGGAGCTCGGGTGGTGGTTGGCCCTTTCTACTCTGTTCCGTATACTCCCTGACACCTCTGACAGCAGGATGGTGGAAATAAAGGTTCCCGGGAATGTCTGCCTTTTGTGAGAGGGTGAAGCTTTTTTAGGGCATATGTTCTCTGATCCTCTAAGGTCCAGGGTGGAGGGAAGACAGAACTGTCCCATGTCATTATCTTAAGGGCAGATTATTTCTATGGTTCTTACCTGGAGGATAAAGAAAAGAGAGACAGAGAAAATAAAACCATTCTTCCAACATAGACTTAAGAATAGTTTAAAGATAAAAGCACCCTTGTAGTGAGAAGTCATAAAAATGACCTCTGAGGAGAGAACTAAAGCTTTTGCAGTCATACTCCCTGATGTTAGCACTGAAGTAAAATCGTCTTTAAAGAGTGTCTTGGTTCAGCTTCTTAGAATTGCAAAGGGCAGGGGTGAGGTAAAAAACAAATATGTAAAGGGATTTCTATCTACTACTTAATGACATGTTTCCCCTGCTGCACCAAGAACTTGGTTGTCAGGAAACCCTTTGTGAGATAAGGTAAAAAAGACGGCTCCTTCTTTCTCTGGTGACATACCTGCCTCAGATACCCAACTTGGCTGCCCTTCGCCCCAGTCCCTGGCAAATCTCCATCCTCAGGAAAGTCATTGTCCACTCATCCATGTGGATACACATGCATTCCAGACAAGAAATAAAGTGCTGGTTTTTACCCTTTGATTTTCTAACAAAATTAGTGTGCAAGTCCATTTTGTCACCACACCTTCGGCGTTCTCCTCCCTCCCATCTTGGCAGAGCTCTATTGAAACCCCAACAAATTTGCTCTCTGCCTAGCAGAACCCGTTTCACTCTCAGGCCCAGGAAAGCCCTGGAGGTGCCCCCTACCAAATTTCTCTCTCCTGAATTATTTCTTCATGACAACCCAGTTCTGTTAGTGGACTGAATAATTTAGGCTGAAGTATAATTGGGTGATAGTAGGGTTGTATGTTCTTCCTCAGTTAACTTTTGGATTTTAGCAGGGACTTTCCTAAAAACCAAGCACTAGGACCCAAGTTTGGAATCTTCCTGGGCAATACCCCAAAGTGAATTGAAGTGAGTACTCATTAAACCACATGGGGCAGCCAAGAGGGGTTGGTCAGTCCCTAGGACAGGCCAGGAAGGAGACTGCTTTGTGAGACAGAGAAAAAACCTCCTATCTGTTTTGCATAGTATCTTTTGAAGAGGGCATAAATCTAGAAGAGACCAAGCATGAGCTTCCAGTTGTCCTCTTCCAATGGAGTTATGTGGACAACACTCCCCCCAACAATGTGTACAATACATACAGAGTATTGCCAACCAGGGAAACTCACCCAAACTTTGGTGTCTAGGGTTTTTGTTGAGTGTGGGTCATTTAAACATGACTGGCATTAGTCTCTAGCCCTATTCTATGTGGTCCAAGGCTCCCACCATATATTGTACTCTTGCACTGTCAGATATTGTACTATCTGGCTTGGCCCAAGGTCTCCCGGTAAACAAAGACACTCATGAGGCAGCTAATTTCAAGGATTTAGAGATTACTTCCCAGGAGCTAGGCAAGGGCCAAAGCTTTCCTTGGGCAAGATTAATTCTTAATTGTACACCTGCCCTTTTATCCCATAATCTCAGGTCCAAGACTCTCAATATCTTGTGAATAAGATGAAGAAATAAGTGCAGGCCTGTATCATTAGAAGGATTCAATAGCTAATAGAATGCCAGCTTCAAAGAGTGGCAATTAATAAATTGACACTGATATAGGTTTTCTAAACAGCATCAAGAGTATTCTGTCTCTTGGTTCTTTCCTATTCAACATTTTTATCAATGACTTGGATGAATAAGAGGCTACATGCTTATAAAATTTTCTGATGACACCCAGTTAAGAAATATAGAAATACGTCAGATGGCAGAGTTGGAATCCAAAAATATATCAATAGCCTTGAGTGATGGACCATATCCTCCAGAATGAAATATAGCAGAGTCAAGGGTAGAATCTTTCCCCTGGATCCTCGCTACCATCTGCGCAAAAATAGGGTTGGAAGACTTGACTAAAGAGTATTGAATGTGGAAAGGCTTGGGGATTTAGCCAGAGGTAAGACCAATATGAATTATCAACATGGCCCCAAAGTGTCTAATGTCATCTCCTTTAAAAGGGGAATAAACATTTTGCCTATAACCAAGATGACGATGAGACGGAACTAAGATCTTTCCAATGAAAGGAAAGGCTGAAGGTGGAAAAGCATCTGGAAGGAAAATTCTCAATGAATTTAAATTAATAAATGACAAATGGGATTTCTTTCATGAGAGTAGAGGAAAAGATAGGTAGCAGGAGAGTATACTCTGCGGAGGGATAGAAGTGCAGCCTCCAGAAATCTTAGCTGGGTCTTGAAGGATGCAATGACTTAGTGCTCACAAATGTAGGTACCACAGGCAGAAGAGGAGGCATGTGAGCAGAGTTTTTCTACCCCTACACCTGGGACCAACCCTTCTAACAAACCTTTCTCCATTCAGCACAGAATACCTGGGTTCCAGCTTTTGCTCCCTTGCTTATTACCTATGTGACTTTTGGAAAATTACCTAAGCTCTTTGTGCCTTGGTTTTCTTCTCTGTTAAACGGGAGATTCATAATGCTTAACTCATAGCATTGCCCAAAGGATAAATTAGGGTAATACAATGTTCTTAGCAAAGTGTTTGCCATCTAGTAAGCATTTAATACATGTAGTTGTTATTGATGTTATTATACTTACTATTGTTACAAATTCTACCACAACTACTCAAATAATTGGGAGAATTAAATGAGTAAATGTATGTAGAAGTGACTAATGTAAGCCGATGAGAGGGTGGAAAATTATTGAGCAATGATGTCTTGGACTCCTCTTAAGTTATAGGGTGCCGGGTGAAGGAAGTGACTTGGCATTCATATTTCTGCCCAGCAAGAAAAATTGTTTTGAGCTCTGGTCATTCCCAAGCATCTCTCAAATGAATTCCTGGGACTACAAGGCACGTGCACAATTTAAGGTACCACAGAGGGGCTACAACTGCCTGAGCTGAGATACAGACAAAGTAAAGAAGATGCAGATGAGAACTCTGCCAAACTCAAGTTGGAGAGACAGAGAGTAATAGCTTGACCCACCACTGCCAGTGACCTGTGTTGTCAGCTTAGGAGAAGCCCAACCTGCAGGATGTATGGGCTGACCAATGCCGGGAATCTTGCCTTTTGAGAAAAAAATAACTCAGGACTTAAAGGTGTGTGATCTGAAGCAGCATAGCCATCTTCACCTCGACCAGATCTTGTGACAAGGGAAACACAGGATACAACATGAAAGGACAGAGAGCATCTCTGGGCCAACAAAGTCAAAACTGTTCCCTCAGCTGAACTG